CTGAGAAACTCACAACTCTGAAGATTGCGACTTACCTTTTGCCGACCGTCCATCACTGGGCTCTGCCCGACGACTCTGGTACTGTATGCACACCCCAGGAACGGTGATAAAGGGGGCCAAGAAATGTAGACACGACAGCAGTCATGCACCCAACGCACCCTAAGATAGTTCCATGAAAGTCAGATGTCACAAGCAACAGGAGAATGTCGATGCAGACGCGAGAATGGTCAGAATCAGGGCGACTGGCATTTGGCGCCCATGTTTAGGGCCGGCACATGCAGGATTGTTTGCGGATACCGAGAGCAACCGTGGAATAACCCCGTTCAGCTTGGCGTCTCAGGTGGTAAATCTCTACGGATGTAAAAACACGTTGCCGCCGCGGATAACTGACGGGTGATATTCAACGGTGAGATCCCATTTCCACGGTGCGACCGTTGAACGCACTTTTTGCCTTGTCGAACCGGGGGTTTTCCGGGGGCGCCAGGCCCATAGTGCTCGCGAGCGCCCGAGAGCACTGCCTCGACCCCCAATACATCACATCGTGATGACGACTCACCTACCATCCTCTTTCTACCTCAATGCTCGTTCCTTCACCTACAGTCATACACGGCTCCTCGGGACAGCGAAATCTTGCACAGCCTGTAGAATCGTTACCCATGCACTGCTTTAGAAAAAAACGTTACAATTTGTTTGCTTAGCTCTTAGAGCACACCATGGAAACATTGCTTGGTGTGCAGTGGCTTGGAATGAATGCGATCGTGGGCGATCTCTTGCAAAACTCGTTATCAAGCCAAACAGGGTCCTCGGGACACTACCAAATGCGGCCAAGCTCTGCCATTATACGCGTTATCAATCTAATCAGTATCCTCGCTCTCAGCTCCTTCGTCCTCCTCTGCATCCTCTTCCTCGGGCTCTACCACATCATCCTCCTTCGGTACTCGGAGCCTTGGCCGAGGCGGTCGTGACTCTATCTGTCCTAGCTTTGGCTTACCCCAACCGACCTTGCGCCGCTGCTGCTTGGCTAGCTTCTTTTCAACCTCCTTCTTTGCTGCGGCATAGCGCTCCCTCTGTGCTTTGACCCTGTCCCCTCTCTCTTTGTCGCGCACCTTCCATTCCTCAACCTCTTTCTCATACTGCTCTCGCTCTGCCTTCCGCTTCTCCTGGTCTCTCTTCTCCTGCTCAAGGCCGCTCTCGTGCTCCTGAACCGCGCTGGTGAACTTGTCCGACGTCAGGAGCTTCGGCAGCCCATCTCCGAAGAGCTTTGTTTTCTTCGCTTTTTTTGCCCTCTCCTCCTCGTAGCTCTGCAACTTCTCCTGGACCCTGCCCACATACCTTCCATGCAGCACGGTGGCCGCCTGGATCTGGATGATGGTCGCCTTCCGGGAGTTGTCCCTCGCATCTGCTTCTCGTAGCGTGTCCTGCATCTCGGCCTCAAGCTCTGTCGCAGGCGGTCGGTCGAGGAGTTTGCTGTAGCGCCGCTTCATTGGAGATATGGTCACTGGGTTGTAGCGGGGCAGGGCAGAATTTGCGGAGATGGGTGAGGGGGAGACAAGGTATGCAGCGGAGGTCGAGGTAAGCACAGCTACAGCGTCTTGGGCAGGTTGGTGTCGGGATGGAGTATGTGGTGGAGATGCGGAGATGTGTGTGGGCGTGGTGGTAGATGTCGAATGGGTGCCATATTTGCGTTCGATTTCATCCACTATGAGTTGGGCAACAGCACGGACAGGACTCGTCTGCATGGCGGGAAGCGGAAGACTCCCTCGAGAAGAGGACTCAAGGCTGGGCGCCATGAAGTCCTGCTTGATGACTGTAGGGTCGTACGGCACAACTCCTGTCTTGCGAAATGCAGCGCGTATGTTGTCAGGAGTGACCGCCTTGATATGGGCTTGAGCGTAGACTTTCAGGAAGTTCGTCTTGTTGACCTTTACTCCACGGGACTCGAACTCCTTACGTGCGATGGTCCACTGACGCTTTAAGGGACTGAAGATGACAACATCAAGTCCCTGAAAGACGTGAGTGCTGTGCGATGGGTAACAGAGGATGTGGATGTTGTGTGTGCGCGCATAGTCCAGGAGAGCAAAGGTGTAGTGCGAAGCATGACCATCGACGAGCAGGAGACGGCGTCGGCCCCTCGCCTTCTCCTTCGTCTGCGCATCAAAGTGCTTGATCCACTCGAGACCAATCTCACCATTAGAGTAGCCTTTTTTCGAGTAGCCCAGCCTATCCGATATTTAGAAGATAGGCAATCAAGTGCACACTGACACTTACGAGGCTTCGAGAGGATTATCCTGCTTCCAGCGCGAGTGGTATGCTTCCGCCTTGTAGATTACGGCAGGTGCAAGAGACGTCCCATCGGCACATATCGTGACTAGCACCGTGATGTTCTCTCGATCTCCGCTCTGTTGCTGGTACTGCACCTTTCGTCCCTTTGGTCCCAGCACCCGTTCCGACACTCCAAGACCCAGCTGTAACCCCGTCTCATCCATCCCATAGATGCACTCCGGAGCGATGGGCTCCTCACCCTCCTCGCCTTCAATGACCCTCTGAAGCAGGTCGAAGTAGGCCTTTGTATTTGCAGGGTTGACAGCCCGAGCACGGGAGTTATCGAGCGCACGGCTCCAGAACGGGCGGAGCGCATCCGAGTGACGATCCATGAAGCGCTGAGTCCACTCCTTCCCCACGCCATCCTTTGGGAAGCTGTCTGGAAGCTTCGCACGACAGATCGCATCGACATGGTCTTTCAGCATCCTGTGGGTCAACGGAAATCCACGCAGGCCGGCATCGATCGCAAACTCGACAACGACATCTTCTTCGGCTGGGGTTAACCATCGCTTTGTAGCATTGAAGTCTTGAATGCTCGTCCGACCATTTGCACGGGCTGAGACAGTGGATTTAGGGAGGGTGATCTTCTTACGTGTCTCCAGGAAGCACTCTTGCTCGACTTCTCGACAGATCTTCCGAACACCTCGAGGCTTCCTCTGTGACTCCCGCTCCTCATTGTAGCGATTGGCTGCGATATTGATGTATTTTTTGACAAGTTCAGAGTCAATATGAGCCTGTTTGGCTTTAGAGACAGCGTGACGAGGCATATTGGAAGGAGCGATCAAGAGGATATGTCGAGCGCTTGTGAACTCGATTAGGCAGATGTTTGATATACCAACCCGATATGGCAATACTTCAGATAAGAGTTCGTGCATACGATCGGTTTCCTGTCGTGCAAACCAAATGGCTCATGCCCTGTCCATGTCTCATCCGATAATGAAACTAGCTCTTTCCGGTGAATATGTATCAATCATTATATATTACAGGTGGCATTTCGGAAGCTAAGCATGCTCCGTCTCATTGCGGTACGGTGACAGAATTTCGGCTATGCCGGTTTGCGATGTAACTGGTAAGCTATAGTAGGATGTAGCTATGTGGTATACTCGAAACACAAGACATTAATTGCTCTCAGTAGGTCACAGAGTTTGAGGATATTTGGGTAGCCATAGATCCCACAGGAGCGCGAAAAAATCGGGAGTGTCCCGGGGACCCATGGTGTCCCGAGGAGCCGTGTATGACTGTATAGAAGTAGTTTTCAGCTCGCTGGAGTGCGAAATTCAGTGACGGTACCTTGTCCACTGGGAGCCGAGCAGCACAATAAACATTCAAGTCCACAACAGCCGGCCCTAAACTCCCATATGGCGCCATCAACAGCACCATCGCTGGCATCGCCCCCGAAACTTCCATGTCTGTTTGCCTCCCTCACAATCCTCCCTCTCCGCTTTTACTTGTTTCTGAGCCCCGTTGCTATCGGTCGGCCTTCTCAACGTCTTTGGATCCTGTCTTAGTTCCGAGAGTGGCCTTCATACTCAGCCTAAGCCATACACCCCCCCAACAACGCCGCTGTGACATGAAGCCTGATGTTGCCTGTTGGTAAGTCTAAGATGTCGTCTTCGTTTTACTCTTGTGATCCTACATGGAAAGTATTGATCTCAGGCCATGACATGGTACGTCCCTCGTAGATGAGTTTGAGTGAGCCTGGTTCCGGTGAGTCCACACGTTCCGTGGGCAGATAGCTGTGAGAAGTAGATGGCTTCCGAGATCTCTGTCGAGGTATGTGTCTACAACATCGCCTTCTAGTGCTTGTTCTGTCTCTATTCTGGTATAGTATCTCGTTTGTATCTCAATGGCATGTTTTTTCAGTATGTGTAGACGAGCTACTGAGGTAGATTACCTATAGTGCATATGTACCGTGTATGTATTTAGTGGATCTGTCGCAATGAAAATATGCTTCACGCTCTGAATATTGAATGCTATGTGAATTATAGAAAAGGGCTAGGAAATTGAGGGTGTGCTCCCATGCCTCGGAAGTGCTCGCAGAGTGCTCGCGAGCACTCGCCGAGTCTTGCTCGGCGCTCTCGAGTCTCGTAAGAGGGGGGGTTGTCTCACCCTACTCGGACGGCTCTCGAGTCTCGAGAGCGCTCCCGAGACAAGTATTTTTTTCCTGATGCACGGTCGGAAACATCGGAATGCCAGCCGTGGTTCTAACATGCAACACGCAGGGCGAACGGCAGGAGCTTCGGAAGGGGCTGGTGACGCTTGTTCCAAATTTACGAGGTCAAAGGATCCAATGGCTGACGCTCCCACGCTTTCTCATCGCCGGGAATTCGCCGTACGGCGGGTATCCCGAGGGTTTCGGCCGGAAGGGGATCTATGACAAGGAGAGGCACGAGGTAAGCGGGCGGTTCCTCCTGCCTTCCTGGATGGCACAGGACAGGTATACTCTGCGCTGAAAGTCCGTTCGCATTGCATGCAGGCGCCAAGACGGTGTAGGAAAAAGGGAGTCGCGTTTGGGCGCAGTGCAAACGCGTGCCGTACGTAGTACATACAATAGACCTTATATACACAGTAGAATAGGGGTAGATAAGGGCGCGGATATCCGTCGGGGGGGCGGGTGTCGCGGCGACTAGGCGCGTGGACTCGGGTCGACGTTCGGCGACGACCCCGTAGGCGAGCGGCAAGGAGCCGAAAGGGAAAAGAGAGAGGGAGAGGGATAAACGTGACAGAAAACTCGACAAGGGCAGAGCGGAGGTCGGCACAAAGGCACGAGACCTACGAAAGCTAGTCTTCACGCAGACAGCGACAGACTAGTCCCAATGACCAAGTTATACATTAGCAAACGAAGGGAGATACAACGCTGTGGCCACTCACCTAGTCCCAATGACCAAGAGGTCGAGATGGGGACTAGGGAGTGCCTAAGGGGGTCCTTATATACTAGAAGGGCTGCTTAGCAACCAAAGACAAGGCGCGAGAGCGAGGCAGTGAAGATGACAAAGGGAGAACAAAGGGACGGGAAGGAAAAGGCAAAAGGCAATGGCGATCA